AATCGGGTGTTCCAACACTGACTGGGCGTCTTAAAAATGCAAACGTAAAGTTAAAGGTATTTTCTGTGTTTCTGTTTTTTTTTTGGGGGGGGGTGTACTAGCTTAATATTCCACAAAGAGCTGGAATAAAAGGTTAGGAGAAAGAGCAAAAGAAGAGGGAGGGGGGGGGGCGGCGGCATCAACTGAAACAGAAGGAGGGGTTGAGAGAGAGAGAGAGAGAGAGAGGGAGAGATGAGGAACCAAAGGGATCAAAAAATAAAAGTGCCGAGTGGGGGGGCATGTGTGGTTTTTTGTTCTTCGTGGGTTAGGACGTCAGCTGGGTATTAACTGGCCAAGAGGCCTTTGGCGATCAAACAGTGAGGCCCGAGCCTGTCATTTATGAAAGTACATCCCTCCTCCCACCTGACGCTATTCCCTACTCGGTGATTTTCAATATGTCTTCCCTTATAGTTCCTCTTTTAACGCTTTCCTCTTTTTTTCCCCCCACCCCGCCCCCCGCACAGCTGCCATCACCAACTGCAATGAGCACAGCTCTCAGAGGGATCTCCTGTTACCTGAGAGAGGTGAACACTCAACGATCTGACGTGTCTTCTTTTGTCCCTCTACCTGTCTTTCTGTCTGTCTGTCTGTCTGTCGTCTGACTAATGCTGCAGTCTGAGCCTTTCAGAGCCCTATTAGTCCGTCTGAACAGACTAAACACTTTTTAAGACCCAGCTCTCTGGTTTGAAACTAAATGACTTCTTCGCTTTTACACAATGCCCTTAAAGCAGAGGAGCTGTTCACTGTCTGCCTACGTGTCTGCGCCACACTGTAGGTCTATTCACAAAACAGAACCATTTATCTTAAAACCCCGACGCCGGCGTTGAAGATGTCAACATCGCATCATTAAGCCTATTCAAACAGGTCTCCTACCTGCTGTAAAAGATCCAGCGTGCGTGGGTTTATTGGAAGAAACTAAACCCGCGTCATATACTTCCCAGACAATCTTTAAATAAAAAAAGCCAAGAAGTTTGACTCCTTGGTGTCAAACTTATATATATTCTCATGTATTAGGGCAGTGGTTCCCAACCACTGTGCCGTGGCACACAAGTTTGCCATGAGAAATTATTATCCAGTGTTATTTAATTGGTCTGAAAACTATCATCTATTTATTGCAAATAATTTTTTTTTTGTGGCGCTTTGGCCCAGAAGCAATGTCTCTGCCGTTGGTGTGGAACCCCAGGGTTCACCTCCTGGGCAAGTTCGAATCCCGGTTAGGGCGGTTGGTACCTTCCAGTGGACTCACCACCCACAGGAAGGTTTAGGGGGGTTGGTACGGTGCCATGTGATTTGGAACCGATAAGTTACCGGTGAAAATGAATGAATGGATGTTTCTTTGTTCGTCAATGCTATTTGACAGGCAGAACAATTAAAAGCTCTATCACTAGATGGCAGCAGATGCTGCCATCTAGTAAAATTTTGTAAAATTGATGTAAAATTTTTTTTAAAAAAAGAGTCAGCGCTATTGAAGATCTTTCTGTCTTTCTTCAATTCCTGTGAGTCTATCGGAGATTTCTTCAACTAAACAGGTGCCGAGCACCGACAGAAGCCTATTTTCAAAAAGCTCTTGAAGACCCGGTTATTCAGAGAGCACTTTCATGCACTTTCCTTCTTCAAATCCAACTTTACTAACCAGCAATCTCCCTTTCGAGAGTTCCTCTACGTAGCTCGAGTGCCAATTCCTCCTCTCGTGAGTCAATTTGGATAAACATGCCTGCTAATAGCATAAACGTAAATCGTTGTCCTCTTCGTTTTTTTCCCCCCTTTAAATCCACCTTTTATCGCTGTGCGTATCATATGTTTGTGAACACGTGCGTGTCGGCCCGCCTCCAAAACAAGGCCGTCTAATTTCCACCATTGCCGAGCTGTTCTCTATCGATCCGTGAAGGTCAGTGCTGTTTCGTTAGCGGGTGTGGTGTTGTCTAATTTTAAGATTTATTAGTTTTGTATTCATTAGATGACAGATGGTAAAGCTCCTGTAGGCACTCACAGTGAGTCCCCGAGAAAAGGTGGTGAGAGGGGGAAGAGATACAAAACGAAAAGAATTGGAAGAGGAAACTGGAGGCAATGCTGTTGAGACAATTAGAACTGGAGACGGCAGAGCAGGGCAGGAGTGTGAAGGTGTACAGCATATTGATTGCCTTGGCTGGATCAACCTTTTTGCCTGAGGGTAAGACTTAATGAGAGACGGAATGATCTAAGAGGGAGACGAGGCTCCAGTTTAGAATGTGGTACAGGAATGACGGAAGACGTTTTTTATATTTAAATAAAATTTAAAATTTGCTTTTAAACAAAGCATACCGTGATAAAAATGGTGCGCCTGCTGGTGTAAAAAAAAACAAAAAAAAAATTTTATGTTACTAGGTCCACAAAGACGGGTCAAAGGTCCAGGGGATGGGGTGGGGGGGGGAGTGATGGTTGAGATGTGGTGACTCAAGGTAATTGCGCTCGCGCACATGACATTTTTCTGTTAGTCAAAGATCAATTGATCGCAGTCTGCCACTGTGATACTCGAAACACGTCAAAGGACAAAGGTAATATAAAATAAAATGTCATTTAGACGTCGACCTTAATTCAAATAATTCCCTCAAAGTAAAACAAAAGAATAATTAAAAAAAAACTCCAAATACATCTATCTTTTGATGCGTCTTGACAGGCGTCAAGACGCATCAAAAAAATATTGTAGGATACGAAAACGTTTGTTTGCACAGAAAACGTTGTGGAACCTCTGACTTAAAGAGCATTTCCTTCTTTTTTTTTTCCCGAGACTGGCCTTTGCTGCCAGAGCGAGTGCACTTTGTGTTACGTAATCTCCAGGTTATGAGTTTAACCTGTTACACCACTGTCGGCTGCTTAACTCTGTTTACTGTAGGGGCAAAACCAAACAAAAACATTTGGGAGATAATTTATTTAAACAGGTTTCACAAATTAAAAAAGTACAATATATGTTGTATTTCATTTGAGTTCTTATCATATATTTTTTTTATAATTAATTAATTAAAATATTTTTTAGTGAATGAGGTCAGAAGTCTAAAAAAAAAATCAAATTTTATTTTATTTTTAAGATAAACATAAATGTCTTTTTATTGCGTCCATTGATGACATGTGTCACAATACGGGTGTGACGTGAAGTCAGTTCTGTGTCTGCCCGGATCTCAGCCTTGGCAGATACTTCCCAGACAATCTTTAAATAAAAAAAGCCAAGAAGTTTGACTCCTTGGTGTCAAACTTATATATATTCTCATGTATTAGGGCAGTGGTTCCCAACCACTGTGCCGTGGCACACAAGTTTGCCATGAGAAATTATTATCCAGTGTTATTTAATTGGTCTGAAAACTATCATCTATTTATTGCAAATAATTTTTTTTTTTGTGGCACTTTGGCCCAGAAGCAATGTCTCTGTCATTGGTGTGGAACCCCAGGGTTCACCTCCTGGGAAAGTTCGAATCCCGGTTAGGGCGGTTAGTACCTTCCAGTGGACTCACCACCCGCAGGAAGGTTCAGGGGGGTTGGGTGGCGACCGCTGACCCCGCGACCCGGTAACGGATAAGCGGATGAAAATGGATGGATGCTATTTGACAGGCAGAACAATTAAAAGCTCTATCACTAGATGGCAGCAGATGGCTATAAAAACTAAAAAAAAAAAAGAATCAGCGCTATTGAAGATCTTTCTGTCTTTCTTCAATTCCTGTGAGTCTATCGGAGATTTCTTCAACTAAACAGGTGCCGAGCACCGACAGAAGCCTGTTTTCAAAAAGCTCTTGAAGACCCGGTTATTCAGAGAGCACTTTCATGCACTTTCCTTCTTCAAATCCAACTTTACTAACCAGCAATCTCCCTTTCGAGAGTTCCTCTACGTAGCTCGAGTGCCAATTCCTCCTCTCGTGAGTCAATTTGGATAAACATGCCTGCTAATAGCATAAACGTAAATCGTTGTCCTCTTCGTTTTTTTCCCCCCTTTAAATCCACCTTTTATCGCTGTGCGTATCATATGTTTGTGAACACGTGCGTGTCGGCCCGCCTCCAAAACAAGGCCGTCTAATTTCCACCATTGCCGAGCTGTTCTCTATCGATCCGTGAAGGTCAGTGCTGTTTCGTTAGCGGGTGTGGTGTTGTCTAATTTTAAGATTTATTAGTTTTGTATTCATTAGATGACAGATGGTAAAGCTCCTGTAGGCACTCACGGTGAGTCCCCGAGAAAAGGTGGTGAGAGGGGGAAGAGATACAAAACGAAAAGAATTGGAAGAGGAAACTGGAGGCAATGCTGTTGAGACAATTAGAACTGGAGACGGCAGAGCAGGGCAGGAGTGTGAAGGTGTACAGCATATTGATTGCCTTGGCTGGATCAACCTTTTTGCCTGAGGGTAAGACTTAATGAGAGACGGAATGATCTAAGAGGGAGACGAGGCTCCAGTTTAGAATGTGGTACAGGAATGACGGAAGACGTTTTTTATATTTAAATAAAATTTAAAATTTGCTTTTAAACAAAGCATACCGTGATAAAAATGGTGCGCCTGCTGGTGTAAAAAAAAACAAAAAAAAAATTTTATGTTACTAGGTCCACAAAGACGGGTCAAAGGTCCAGGGGATGGGGTGGGGGGGGGAGTGATGGTTGAGATGTGGTGACTCAAGGTAATTGCGCTCGCGCACATGACATTTTTCTGTTAGTCAAAGATCAATTGATCGCAGTCTGCCACTGTGATACTCGAAACACGTCAAAGGACAAAGGTAATATAAAATAAAATGTCATTTAGACGTCGACCTTAATTCAAATAATTCCCTCAAAGTAAAACAAAAGAATAATTAAAAAAAAACTCCAAATACATCTATCTTTTGATGCGTCTTGACAGGCGTCAAGACGCATCAAAAAAATATTGTAGGATACGAAAACGTTTGTTTGCACAGAAAACGTTGTGGAACCTCTGACTTAAAGAGCATTTCCTTCTTTTTTTTTTCCCCCGAGACTGGCCTTTGCTGCCAGAGCGAGTGCACTTTGTGTTACGTAATCTCCAGGTTATGAGTTTAACCTGTTACACCACTGTCGGCTGCTTAACTCTGTTTACTGTAGGGGCAAAACCAAACAAAAACATTTGGGAGATAATTTATTTAAACAGGTTTCACAAATTAAAAAAGTACAATATATGTTGTATTTCATTTGAGTTCTTATCATATATTTTTTTTATAATTAATTAATTAAAATATTTTTTAGTGAATGAGGTCAGAAGTCTAAAAAAAAAATCAAATTTTATTTTATTTTTAAGATAAACATAAATGTCTTTTTATTGCGTCCATTGATGACATGTGTCACAATACGGGTGTGACGTGAAGTCAGTTCTGTGTCTGCCCGGATCTCGTTGTGAGCAGCTGACTCGTTACACAATGTCAAACTCATCTTTTCCTGTTTGTCTCCATGTCCTGTCCTGTTCTTTTAGTGGGAAACGGAGCAGCAGAGGAGCCTGGAGGAGAGAGGTCGTCTGTTGCTCTGCCTTCAGTATCTGCCTCCCGCCACTGACAGCGACGTGGAGGGTGAGGGCAAGGAGAGGGCTCGTGGAGGGCTTTGCGTGGGCGTCAAACGCTGCGCCCATCTGGCTGCAATGGACGTCAATGGCTACTCTGATCCCTATGTCAAAACGTAAGACCGGACACTGAATGTTTTTAATGTACCGTCATTTCCTGACTATGAGCCACTACTTTTTTTCTCCACATTCTTTGGACCCTTCAGCTTAAACTAAATTCTTGGATTTTTTTTTTGTACGGGCTAACCAAGTTCGTACCGCTAGCGATCAATGACTTTTCTGGTAGGCTACTGTGTGTTATACATATAGCATATATAGTATATATATAGCATATATAGTATATATATAGCATATATAGTATATATATAGCATATATAGTATATATATAGCATATATAGTATATATATAGCATATATAGTATATATATAGCATATATAGTATATATATAGCATATATAGTATATATATAGCATATATAGTATATATATAGCATATATAGTATATATATAGCATATATAGTATATATATAGCATATATAGTATATATATAGCATATATAGTATATATATAGCATATATAGTATATATATAGCATATATAGCATATATAGTATAGTAGCATATATAGTAGTATACTAGTAGCATATGTCTGTGAATGGCTGTGTGTGTGGGGCGCTCGCAAGAGAGAGAAAATGGTACATGAAGTTGAGAGCGGCTTATAGAGAAGTGCGGCCTATATATGTACAATTATTTTCTTTTAAATTTAGTGGGTGCGACTTATATTCAGATGCGCTCAATAGTCCGGAAGTTACGGTATTTGTTTGCATGTTTTTATGTTATCGACATTTATTTAGACCTCTTTAGAATTCTTAAAAAAATGTAGAGTTATAGAGCTGGGGGAGGGGCAATGGTGGGCACCCAACCTGCCACCAGAAAGGTCTGGGTTCAATATCAGCTGATCCCTAAATACCAGACAGAAATGCAGACTAAATCAGGATAAAATACCTGTTCCACACTGAGTAAGTATTATAGCAACGGTGGGGAGAAAAAAAAAAAAAAAAAACTCCCTTTAACAGGAAGAAAAATCTCCAGCAGATCCAAAGTCAGTGTTGCCGTCTGCCTGGGGACAAGCCAAAAATAATTCAGGCTAGACACCACTGTATTGTTCAAAAGTTGGAGTTGTGCAGAGACCTAGGGCCCCGGCTTCTGTTCCCTGCTGGGATTGGCCGGCCCTGGTCAGCAGGCCTGCCGGCTGCTATTCTTCTATGTGCCGGTCCCTTACTGGGGCTCGCCTGTGGTTTCGCAGCCTCACGATGGAGGCATGGCTGTGTCCTCTAACGTTAGCATTTTACCATCCAGGTGACAAACCCCTTTTTTTTCTTTTTGTATTTATCAATCACGATCTTATATACATACATACTATCTCACACACACAAACACATGCAGGTCATCATTTCAATTCACGTCCAATTATGATTCATTTTCTACTGTCCTAGCTTACCGTACATACTCGCGTGTTAGCCGATTCGCTTATACACCGACCCCGGACAATTGATCCCAAAATGCCGTCCGTAATGTTTTCATTTTTCCCCCGTGGTAAAATTGCTTACTCCTGCTCTGTGCATCAACACAAAATTGCAAAGATTTCGCCGATGTTTGTTGAGAAATTCACAATAGACGTGATTTTTTTTTTTTTTTTGCATTGCAGTACATCAGTGGTGCTGTTAAAAGATTGTGTGGATTGAATTTATTTATGATATTTTTGACCGTACGTTCGACTTGGTGTTTATTATCGGTGATGATGCGAATGATGGAAGATGCTGTCCCAGGTTTTTATGCGCATTTAAGCCCCATCCACCAACCCCCACCGACCCCCGCGGCCCCCGATTTGAACTTTATTTTTTGTTGTTTTAAATTTGCCTTAAATGCTTGTATGTACGGTATCTTATCATTAATACCACTTTTCTAGTCATGGTTAATGTTACTGTCATTTTTTGCTATTATTATATGTTATTAATTCATATTTAGTCAGCTCTTGGTACGTTGTTGCTTTTATTCCCTTTGTCTTTCTGGCCCAGTAATAATACCGATGATAACAATACGAGAAAGTAAATAGCGAGCGATTGTTAATTCGCGTGGCAGACCCGGCTTTAAAACAACACCCTTGGTGGAACGAATCTCTGCGCACCAAGTGCGGGACAAGCCATAAAAGCAGGTGTTGCAAAGTAAATTATGTTATAAGTAGAATGTCTTTATATATATATTTTTTTAATTCAACGAATGCAAAGCAAGCGAACTAAACGAATCAATATTTAATGTCACTACAATTTGTCTTCAAAGCAGCATCAAAGACCCACACGTCCGAGCTTTTTGAGTATACCTTTGTAGTTGACTGCAAGTTTTACATTGGATTAGACCTGGACACATGGTCAGCTGTCAGCTGACTTATTTACTAACCCGGCTGGACTGATAGAAGCCGAGCCTCGGGCCGGGGGGTGGAGGCGCCGT